CACCACACCTGGCTAATTTTGTATTTTTTGTAGAGACAGGGTTTTGCCATGTTGCCCAGGCTGGTCTTGAACTCCTGGGCTCAAGTGATCCTCTCACCTCAGCCTCCCAAAGTGCCAGGATTACAGGCGTGAGCCACCCTGCCCCAGACCACAGTTCCTCCATTTGTATATACAGAAGAGAAGCTGCTGCAGCCTTATCCACTCTCGAAAGGGGAGAGAAAACCTCTGCTTCTTGGAGAGAATGGAAAACATCCTATTTATCACTCTACCCTATTGGAATGTAAATACATCACTCCAAAAGCGGGGTAAGCCCCAGTGTCTTTGACTTTTATGACCTAGAAATGTTTCCAAACTCTGGACTTCATCTCTTCTGACAGATAAACACCTAGGGAGGTAGCGCTTAGTCTTCCCAGAACCTTGAGAGCTTAACCCAGGGTTTTAGTCTAGGCTGTAAGCATTTGGTCTCCTTTAGAAGCTAAGTTTTATTATCCTTTCTGATAAGACCAATGAACTACACAAATGGCTACAGATTAAACTGCTTCTAGCGGAAGTGAGAGCAAACATCCCCGTCTTTATATGGCATGCATTTCCACATCTCAGGAGGCTCAGGCTTTTTCCAGGAGCACTTCTGGGGAAGTTTGATTTCCACCACACAGTATATTTTCCTTTGTGTCTGGCTTCTTTCACTCAACATTACGTTCATGAAATTCATCCCTATTGTTGTGTGAATGTCCATTCATTCTCATTGACATGCGTAATTTATCATAATCTATCCATCCTCTTTTTGTTGGGGATTGTGTTACGCAAAGTTCACCAACTGCTAAGACAGGGAACCATCCACAACACTCCCCTCACTTCTGACTCTGGTTGCAAGTTTAGGGGTTCCAAAGACTGCCCTCAGGTTTGGCAACTCACTGGAAGGATTGACAGAAGTCATTGAAAACTTTTATACTCACTATTACAGTTATTACAGGGAAAGGATACAAATTAAAATCAACCAAGGGAATAGACACATTGGGCAGAGTTCAGCAAAGTACAGAGTTTCCAATCCTTTTTTTTTTTTTTTGGAGATTGAGTCTCACTCTGTTGCCCAGGCTGGAGTGCAGTGGCGCAATTTCGCCTCACCACAACCTCCACCTCCTGAGTTCAAGTGATTCTCCTGCTTCAGCCTCCCGAGTAGCTGGGACTACAGGTGTGCACCACCATGCCCAGTTAAGTGGTTCTGTCTCGATGTCTTTTATGTGACAACAGCTGGAATAGTAGGGGCCTGGAAAAGCTGGGAGCTGGCTGGATTTCTCTGTTCTCTCTCTCTCTCTCTCTCTCTCTCTCTCTCTCTCTCTCTCTCTCTCTGTCTCCAGGTAATCTCGGGGTTTATACGTGTGGATTACCTTTGTGGACCAGTTTGGTCTTCCTCACAGTGTAGCTGCCTCAAGGCAGTTGGATTGCTGACATGACAGCTCCATACTCCAGCTCAAGTGTTCAAGTGAGCAAGGGGGAAGCTGCATTTTCATTTCTGACCTGGAGTTATGTATCATCGCTTCCGCATTCTGCTGCTGACAAGCATGTCACAAACCTGCCTAGATTCAAAGGGAGGGGAATTAGACTCATTTCTTTATGGATGAATGACAACATTACAGAAAACCATGAGGAATAACTGGTGTTGTTGCAGATATCTTTGAAAATACAATCGGACACACCTCTTTATCTCCCTTAATGCTTTTTGCCTATGAATATTTGGTCTAATTTTTTTTTTTTTTTTTTTTTTGAGATGGAATCTCACTCTGTCACCCAGGCTGGAGTGCAGTGGCGTGATCCTTTGCCTCCCGGATTCCAGTGATTTTCCTGCTTCAGCTCCCTGTGTAGCTGGGATTACAGACGTGCACAACCATGCCTGGCTAATTTTTGTATTTTTAGTAGAGACGGGATTTCGCCATGTTGACCAGGCTGGTCTCGAACTCCTGAGTTTAAGTGATCCACCTCCCAAAGTGCTGGGATTACAGGCGTGAGCCACCGCGCCTGGCCTTAAAATATGATTTGAATATATATACATTTTTCATCCCTACTTTTCTCTTTGGGGTTAATTCTTGGCCTATGCCCTAGCCAAGTCAACCTAAAACCACCAGAAACAAACCCAGTTGTTCACCTATTCCAATAAGGGAAACTACCCAGCAGAGGAACTGCGGTGGTCTGATTGAACAAAGGGAAAGGTTATTAAAGAATTTGAGAGGGCTGGGCATGGTGGCTCACACCTGCAATCCCAGCACTTTGGGAGGTCGAGGCAGATGGACTGCCTGAGCTCAGGAGTTCAAGACCAGCCTGGGCAACACAGTGAAACCCCGTCTCTAAAAAAAAAAAATTAGAATTTGAGGGGAAAGGTGGAGTTAGGTAAAGTGTAAACCAAGCAGTGTTTTGAGGCAAGCAGGCTCAAAAGTACCACAGGGCTGTGTATGAAGGGTCAGCTTCAGGTCTAGACAGCAAAGTGGACCTAGAGTCTTGTTTCCTCGGAAACTATAAAGTTAAGAGAAATGTGGAATGCTGCTTCTCTGGTTCAAAATGACATAGCTCTTCCAGGCAACAGTGGGATGTTCTGTTCTTACCAATATAATCTCAAACAGCAAATTTCTGATCATTTGTGATTTTAGGGGGAAAATAAAAATATCAGTAAAAAAGTAGTAGTCACTCAAAGAACGTGGGTATTAGGACACTTTATAGCTGTAGCATGTACGGCCTTGATAGAAATGTTTCCTGTTGGCCGGGTGCCATGGCTCTTGCCTGTAATCCCAGCACTTTGGGAGGCCGAGGCAGGAGGATCACCTGAGGTCAGGAGTTTGAGACCAGCCTGGCCAACACGGCAAAAACCCATCTCTACTAAAAATACAAAAATTAGCCGGGAGTGGTGGTGCCTGCCTGTGATCCCAGCTACTTGGGAGGTTAAGGCGGGAGGATCACTTGAACCCAGGGGGCAGAGGTTGCAGTGAGTCGAGGTCACACCACTGCACTCCAGCCTGGGCGACAGAGCAGACTCTTAAAAAAAAAAAACATTTACTGTTGAACTTGCAGCTCGCTTTAGAGGTCCCTGTTATCCCCATCTAGAGGGAACACAGGCAAACTCTGCCTTCTCATTCCAAGCTAGTTTTCACCACAAACAGAAATCTTGATCTCACCAGGTGCAATGGCTCATGCCTGTAATCCCAGCTCTTTGGGAGGCTGAGACAGGGTTAGCTTGAGCCCAGGAGTTCAAAAATAAAAAAAGAGAAATCCTGATCTAAATGAGTTAATCATTTTAGTTTTTCACATTCCCCGACCACTCAATTTCTTTATTTTATTTTTAGGACAGGATCTCCTTCTGTCACCCAAACTGGAGTGCAGTGGTCCGATCTCAGCTCACTATAACCTCAAACTCCTGGGCTCAAGTGATCCTCCCACTTGTAGCCTCTTGAGTAGCTGAGACTACAGCCACATACCACCATCCCTGGAGTTTTTTTGTTTTTGTTTTTGTTTGTAGAGTTAGAGTCTTACCATCTTGCCTAGACTGGTCTCAAACTCGTAGGCTCAAGCAATCCTCCTGCCGTGGCATCCCAAAGTGCTGGGATTACATTTCTAATGTGTATGGGAAATATGATGTCCTCCTATCCTTACTCCCCAACCCTCTGGCACAGAGTCCAGGCAGGTGGGCAGGGGTGTGTCTCTCCTTTACTTCAACACCCTCACAACCTTGGGGATCAGAAGTGACTCTCTGGAAGGACACTGGGCTTCTCACCAGAAGCTGATGATACGAAGGCTGTTCTCCATGGCCACCTCCTTCAGGCTGCCCTCCTGGAAATAGCAGGAATCATAATCGGTGTTACTGGAAACAGGCAGAGGGTTGGGGGAGCCAAGGCAGTCCCACCCAGGACCAAGGGGGCTCCATTGCATACAATTCACTGTGGCTCCCTGAAGGTCCAAATGTGCAGTTCTGCAGAAGCTGGGCTCCCCACTGGCCTCCCTCCTTCCTCAGAACCTCCAAAGGTGCCACTCCTAGTGGCCACAACCAGCCTTTCTGACCAGACTACCTATCATTTAAAATTTTCAAGTACTTCTGTAAACAGACGCACGTTGCTGTATTTATGTATGTCAAGAGCGTGGCTTGTGATAAGTCAGGCTCAAAACAGATTATCTTAAAGGGGCGAACCTTGGCAATTTGCCATAAAAATAATTGCAATACAGATTGTAAATGGAAATGGTTAGAGGTGTTTTAAAGTCATATTGTCTTCACAAATTGAGCTGAGAGGGAGCTGTTAGAACGGTCTTGTCTAACCCTTGCATCTCAGATGGGAAGAACTATTTAATCTCAGAGAGGTTAAGTGCCCTGGCCAAGGTCACACAGCCACCACTAGATAACTCATATACATTGATTCTCCTGTGGGGCTTGGCAGGTGAGGAATCTTTTGTTCTCTTTCCTGTTTGCAGAGATTTTTTTTGAGGTTGCTTTCTTAGTTCTGGCAAGTAGCCCTGCTTTCCGTAGTTTTGGGCCTCAACTGAGTCAATCCCATTATTTTATTTTTTTGAGATAGGGCCTCACGTTGTCACTCAAACTGGAGTGCAGTGGTGTGATCTCGGCTCACGGCAACCTCCACCACTGGGTTCAAGCAATCCTTCTGCCTCAGCCCCCCAAGTAGCCGGGACTACTGGCACGCGCCACCACGCCCAGCTATTTTATTTTATTTTTATTTTTTGAGAGAGACGGGGTTTTCCAGGCTGGTCTGAACTCCTGGGCTCAAGTGATCTGCCTGCCTCAGCCTCCCAAAGTGCTAGGATCAGTCGTGAGCCACCGCACACGCCCTTAATCCCATTCTTTACTTTGTTTTGTTTTGTCCTCTCCAGGAGGCTCCTAGCTCTCTCGGATTGGTTGAGAAAAGTGGCCCGCTGGTTGGGGACCAGGGGCTCCCCAACCATGGCGGGAGGCGGTGCTGAAGAACAGCTGACGCCAGCAATGCTGCTCACGTGACCGCCGCAGCTGCACCTCCCCGTTCTACTCCTAGTCCCGGGCTAGGCGGGTACTACCAGGGGCTCCTTCTGTAAGGAGTATCAGGTGGGCACCCGGTCCTGCCGTTCCACCACTGGAACAGCGAAGGGGAGAGCAGCCAGGCAAGGTCGGACAGAGTTGGGAAGATCAGACGTCAGCCCCACTGTGTTGGTCTGGGGCTCTTTAAGCAGGAACGTGGATGGCCTCAATATGTCTCACATGGTTCCACGGGTCCTCCTCCTCCCTTTGTCGCCTACCTCCAGGAAGGCTGCTCTGCCCTTCCTTCCTCTGTTCTTTGGCCTTCTCTTCGCCGCCACAACAGACCTTTTCCCCTTTCTCTCTGCTGACTTAGCAGCACATTGCGAGTGAAGGATTAATCAGTGACAGGAACCTACCTACCTCTCTGGAAGCAGTGACCGGCTGTGGTCAGGAGAGACTCACCCACCTGCAGCTGCCATGAGGCACCTTGGGGCCTTCCTCTTTCTTCTGGGGGTCCTGGGGGCCCTCACTGACATCTGTGGTGAGTAACTCGCCTCTATCCGTTGCCTCTTTCCTCCTGGGTCCTTAGGAGGGTGGCTCAGGCATAGGATGGGGGAACTTATCTTCCCCTCTAGCCTCCCCTTGCAGTTCGGGCTTAGCTGGACCTCAGCATTTAACACATCGTATTGCGATTGATTCTATGACTCCTCACCAGACAGGAGCTCCTCTGTTAATTCAGTCATTCGTTCACACATACATTCAGCACATAGTTACTGAGCCTTTTCTGAGTCGGGCCCAGTGTTAGCCTTTGGGGAATGTGCAAAGCGTGAGATAGGTCTAATTCCTGCCTTTCTAGAGTTTATGTTCTAGGGAAAGGAGGCAGACAAAAGACATCAATGGCTAGGTGCTCCCGCCTGAAATCCCAGCATTTTGGAAGGCTGAGGCAGGAGGATCGCTTGAGCTCAACAGTTCGAGATCAGCCTGGGCGACATAGGGAGACCCCCATCTCTACAAAAATTTAAAAAATAGCTGGGCACGGGGAAGGCTTTCTGAGGACCAGGAGGGGGCATATGGGAGCTGAGACTCGAAGGAAGAAAAGGAGCTGGCAGGAAAGGAGTGGGGGACACGCATTCTAGGCAGCAGGAAGTGAATATTCGGAGGCCCTGCCTGCTCCAACTCTGTGCCCCAAGGGGTCTCTTGGAGCACACTGCCTCCTGGGACCTGTCTGTGAGTCTGAGCTTGGAGGTTCAGTGCTGCTCATGCACTGGGTGGGGTCAGACAGGGGGCAGAAGGCAGGCTTCGGGACTCTGGGCTGCCCACTTCTCTTTCCCCCTCCTCTGCACCTAGGATTATGCTCAGCAATACATTTTCACCACCATGGTCTCTTGTGACCCTGAGGAAACCCTGAGAGGCAGGTGCAGTCGTGTCCAGGTGTCAAGTGAAGAAGTCAGGAGTGGGAGGGGCTGAGTGACCCGCTCAGGGTGCTTCAGCTTTACCAGAGCTTTGCTGAACTTAGTTTTTAGAATATTAAGTCTCATTTTTTTTTTTTAGGGAGGAAGGGAGGAAGGCAGGAAGGGAGGAAAGGAGGAAGGGAGGGAGGAAGGAAGGGAGGGAGGGAAGGGAAGGAAGGAAATCGAGCAATGAGAGAGACATTGCTGACCTGGATCTAGAGGTCTACAAGTTGATTTCTTTTTTTTTCTTTTTTTGAGAGAAGGAAAGAAAAAAAGCAGTGAAGGAGAGGAAGAAAGAGGAAGAAAAAGAGGGAGGGAGAAGGGAAATGTTGCTTTATTCTAAAAAAAAATGGGTATTAATAATGGCCAATCAATGTTTCATTTAAACCTATGAGTAGGTGTGATGTGGTATTGACAAGAATGTATATTTTGTGTATTTCAAGTGGAGAGCTCTATAAATATTTATTAAGTTTACTTGTTCCAGATCTGAGTTCGAGTCCTTGATATCCTTATTAATTTTCTGTCTCGTTGAGTCTAAGTCTCTTTATAGGTCTTATGTATCTGGGTGTTAGGATCATTAGCTCTTCTTGCTGCATTGATCCTTTTACCACTATATTTGCTGCTTTAAGATCTATTTTATCAGATACGAGAATTGCAACTCCTGCTTTTTATTTATTCATTTATTTTTGCTCTCCATTTGGTTGGTAAATCTTTCTCCATCCCTTTGTTTTGAGTCTTTGTGTATCCTTGCAAGTGAAATGGGTCTGGATGTAACATGCCGTTGGGTTTTGGCTGTATTTTTTGATTGGGGGATTTAGTCAATTTAAATTTAGAATTACTGCCATTTGATGTTAACTGGCTGTTTTATCCATTCGTTGATGTAAATTCTTCTTTATGTTGATGCTCTTTACTTTTTGGTATATTTTTAGAAAGGCTAATACTGGTTGTTTCTTTCTATGTGTAATGCTTCTTTGAGAAGCTCTTGTAAAGCAGGCCTGGTGGTAATAAAATCTCTGAGTACTTGCTTGTTCATAAAAGATTTTATTTTTCCTTCAGTTGTGAAGCTTAGTTTGGCTGGATATGAAATTCTAGGCTGAAAGTTCTGTTCTTTAAGGATGTTGAATATTGGCCCCCACTCTCTTCTGACTTATAGAGTTTCTGCTGAGAGATCTGCTGTTAAGTCTGATAGGCTTGCCTTTGTGGGTAACCTGACCTTTCTCTCTGGCTGCCCTTAGTATTTTCTCCTTCGTTTCAACCCTGGTGAATCTAATGATTATGTGCCTTGGGGTTGCTCTTCTTGAGGAATATCTTTGTGGTGTTCTCTGTATTACCTGGGGTTGAATATTGTCCTGCTTTGCTAGTTTAGGAAAATTTTCCTGAATAATATCCTGAAGAATATTTTCCAGCTTGTATTCATTCTCTCTGTCACATTCAGGTACACCTATCAAACATAAATTTGGTCTTTTCACATAGTCCCACATTTCTTGGAGACTTTGCTCATTCCTTTTCATCCTTTTTTCTCTAATCTTGTCTTCTCGTTTTATTTCATTAAGTTGGACTTCTGCCTCTGATATCCTTTCTTCTGCTTCAACAATTCGAGTGTTTAAACCTGTGCATACTTCTCGGAGTTCCTGCATTGTATTCTTCAGTTCCATTAATTCACTTATATTCCTCTCTAAGTTGTCTATTCTCATTAGGATTTCGTCAAACCTTTTTTCAAAGTTCTTAGTTTCTTTACATTGGCTGCAACATGTTCTTTTAACTCACAGAAGTTTTTTATTATCCATCTTCTGAAGCCTGATTCTGTTAATGGGATGCGCTCGTTCTCCATCAAGTCTTGTTCCCTTGTTGATGAGAAACTGTGATCCTCTTTAGAGGGAGAGGCGTTCTGATTTTGAGTATTCTCAGCCTTTTTATGCTGGTTTCTTCCCATCATTGTAAATTTATCCACCTATCGTCTTTGTAATTACCAACTTTCAAATTAGGTCTCTGAGTGGACATCCAAGTTGTTAATTCCCAGGGCCGAAATATGAGCAACCCACTGCGCCGGCCAAAACAGCAGCATTAAGACTGATTGTTCTTGGCCGGGCGCGGTGGCTCAAGCCTGTAATCCCAGCGCTTTGGGAGGCTGAGGTGGGTGGATCACGAGGTCAAGAGATCGAGACCATTCTGGTCAACATGGTGAAACCCCGTCTCTACTAAAAATACAAAAAATTAGCTGGGCATGGTGGTGCGTGCCTGTAATCCCAGCTACTCAGGAGACTGAGGCAGGAGAATTGCCTGAACCCAGGAGGCGGAGGTTGCGGTGAGCCGAGATCGTGCCATTGCACTCCAGCCTGGGTAACAAGAGCCAAACTCTGTCTCAAAAAAAAAAAAAAAGACTGATGGTGCTTTTCTGCCCGGGAATCTCCAGTCTGGCTTCCTTCTTGAGTCTGTAATAGGCGACTCTGCCTTCCCGGAGCTCCAAACCTCGGTCAGAAGGAGAACCGGTCCTGTTTACTCTGCACCAAGAGCTGCCGCGCCGAGGTGCTGGCACAACCGCTGCACCGGCCACAAGAGTTGCGCTGGCGACCCGTGTGGCTCCTCCAAACCTCGGTCAGAAGGGGAACCAGTCTCGTTTGCACTGAGAGCTGCCGCGCTGAGGTGCCCATGAAAATGCTGCGCCGGCCACAAGAGTTGCGCTGGCGACCCGTGGAGCTCCTTCACTGGGAATCTTCTGCTCCGTGAGCGACCAAAATTTGTCTGAAAGTATGGCATCCTCTCATTTTCTGAGCTTTCGCTGGGAGCTGCAATCCCGAGATGTTAGCGATCAGCCATCTTGGATCGTTCCCCTGGTTTTTTTTTGTTTTTTTTTTGAGACAGGGTCTGGCTCTGTTGCCTAGGCTGGAGTGCAGTGGCACAATCTTGGCTCACTGCAACCTCCCTGCCCCCAGGTTCAAGTGATCCCCCTACCTCAGCCTTCCGAGTAGCTGGGGACTACATGTGCACACCACCATGCCCGGCTCATTTTTGTATTTTTTGTTGAGACAGAGTTTTGCCATGTTGCCTGGGCTGGTCTCAAACTCCTGGGCTTAAGTGATACTCTTGCCTCAGCCTCCCAAAATGCTGGGATTAAGGTGTGAGCCACCACGCCCGATCAGAACTCCAAGCCTCTCATCTGTGTTCCATAAATGCAATCAGACTCCTCAGGTCTAGGCCCAGGAACCCCAGCTCTTGGTTCTTGTTCAGACAGTCCCCAGGGGAGATCTGGGTTCAGAGATCTTTCCCTCCCACAGACCTGGCTCAACTGGTCCTCAGCCTTGGACAGTTAGTCCATTAGCCTGACCCCACAGGAGCCCCTGTCCCTTGGGGTCTGGGGAAGCTTGAACTGGGGTTAGGGGTGCAAATATCTGTGCTGAGTCACTTAATTGTACCCAGCTTCATTCCTTTACCTGTAAAATGGGCTAGAGTGCTTCCTCCTTGGTGTAGTACAAGGGAGAATCCTATGACACCTGCTTTCCCAGCTTAAAGCTCTGTATGTATGTTGTGAAATTGACAGGGATTGCTGCACAAATGCTAATGCAAAGTGGGCTCCTGTGCTTCTTTTTCTTCTTTTCCCCTCTCCTCCTCCTCCTTCTCCTCCTCTACTTCCTCCTTCTTCCTCTTCTTTTTTATTTTCTTATAGAGACGAGGTCTCACTGTATTGCCCGGGGTTGGTCTTAAACTTCTAGGATCAAGCGATCCTCCCATCTTGGCCTCCCAAAGTGCTGGGATTATAGGTGTGAATCCCTCCACCCAGCTCCTGTGCTTGTGAATGTCAACAGCAATCAGCCTTTAGTTGGCAGGGCTGAGCTGGTAGGCAGAGAGCTCACCCAAGCCTGCTTTATCACCCTGGGTGAATCTGCCCGGCCCCTTCCTTCTAAGGAGGTTGCTCTGTGGTTGTGGATCTCCCTTTACAGCCAGGTTCAGTTTCTAACCCTGTGCTGACTCATCGTGCTGGAGGTTAGAGCCCAGGGTGAGGTCAGGGAACTCCCTTGCCAGTTTCAGGAAAAGGGAGAAGGAAAGAGAGGTGAGGAGGGGCAGACAACCAGAGAGACAGAGGCTGGGAGAGACTGAGACAAACCCAGAGAGCCTTAGAGAGATTGAGGAAGAGAGACAGAGACATGGAGACAGATACCAAAAATGGCTCTGAGTGAGGGAAAGGGAAAAAAGCAACCCCCTAGTCTCTGTTCATTAACAACTGGTGAGAAACCAGCCATGTGCTCTGGCCTGGGCACACACAGCAAAGGATTATGCAGGATTTCATGCTAGTGGATGAAATAGCAACAGATATCTGGGACTGTCAGGAAATCAGATACAAGGTGGTGGGACCCAAACCCGCAGAGATGGAGATATGTTCTAGGAGCTCTGGTCCTCGCACCAGGAGGCTCAGGAGGTGTCTTGCAGCAGCTCCTTTTCTTAGTCCCCTGGGATATGGCACAGTGGAGGCCACCATCAGGCAGCTGGAGCCCAGCAGCAAGTGGGAGGCAGTAAATGGGGACAGAAAGTCCAAGGTGCCTCCAAGGCAAACTACTGTAAGCTACTGTGTGCTGAGTTCAGGTCCCTTGGAACTATCCCTAAGGCTTCCGCTTCCAGGGTATTGGAGTATTTTGGTTTCACAACTTCAAATAAATCCCACAGCAACAGGTAAATGGCTACAAGCTGTGACTGTTTTCTAAGAGCTCATCTCATAATCTCAGGTCCTCTTCGCTTAAACAGAGATGGCAGGAAAAGCGTTATTTTGAGATCTGCATGGAGGAAGTTCACCAGGCAACCTTAACCCACCAGCTGGCAGTCTGCAGTATTTAAAAATTCAGTGTGGAGCCAGGCGCGGTGGCTCACGCCTGTAATCCCAGCACTTTGGGAGGCTGAGGTGGGCGGATCACCTGAGATGAGTAGTTCGAGACCAGCCTGACTAATATGGTGAAACCCCGTCTTAAAAAATAATAATAATAAATAAATAAAAATAAAAATTCAGTGTGTAACATGTTCTGCCTGTGGGATGATGTTTTTGTAAATGGGCAGCACACACATTCAGCCGGGTACCAAAGAGCAGGGGCTTTGCAGTTCTGTCTATCTTTGCATCCGTGGCTCTGCAGCCTCGTGTAAGACATGCCACAACTTTGAATTTCTGTTTCCTCTTTTGTGCAAAGCCATGATGACAGTATCTAGGTCACAGGACTGGTATGAGGACCAAGTGAGATTGGGCATGGTGCCTGGCACACCCCGCAGCTTGGCATCCAGTCTCACTGTCTCCCCTGATGGGCAGAGTGGTGGCCTGGCAATAGCATCCTCTACCTTCAGCCCAACACCTCTCGCTGGTGCGCTCTAACTGCTCCTTTGGAATACCTGCTTCCCTGCTTTCCCCCTCCCACTGCCTTTCAGTGTGTGCATTTCTCCCTGGAAGTTGGTGTGTGCTGGGTGGAGGTGGGAGTGAGGACATGTGTTCTCTGGGGAAGGCCCTGGTAATATCAAAGCACTTCATTTTTTTTTTTTTGAGACAGAGTTTGGCTCTTGTTGCCCAGGCCAGAGTGCAATCATGAAATCTCGGCTCACCGCAACCTCTGCCTCCCAGGTTCAAGAGATTCTCCTGCCCCAGTCTCCTGAGTAGCTGGGATTACAGGCATGTGCCACCATGCCCAGCTAATTTTATATTTTTAGTAGAAACAGGGTTTCTCCATGTTGGTCAGGCTGGTCTTGAACTCCTGATCTCAGGTGATCCACCTACCTTGGCCTCCCAAAGTGCTGGGATTACAGGTGTGAGACACCGTGCCTGGCCAAAGCCCTTCTTTGCTGGTGGCCTGGCCCTGTGACCTCACTTGCACCATTTTCTTTCCTAAGAAATACCAGAAGTGGACATCCAGCTGGTAGAGAAGTTGGGCCAGCGCCTCTTGCCTTGGATGGACCGGCTTTCCCGGGAGCACCTGAATCCCAGCGTCTATGTGGGGCTGCGCCTCTCCAGTGTGCAGGTTGGGACCAAGGAGAAGCTCTACCTGCGCAGCCTCAAGCTTGATTACCAGCAGTGCCTCCTACGGTATTGCCACACTTTCCTTTTTCCATGTCTTGCTCCACGTGCTAAGAGACAGGAATCCTAGGTTCTAGTTTGGGCCTATCACCGCATTGTTGGTAGACCTTAGGCAAAATTTTCTCCATCTACAGAATGGAGGCCCTAGGCCGGGCGCAGTGGCTCACGCCTGTAATCCCAGCACTTTGGGAAGCCGAGGCAGGTGGATCACCTGAGGTCAGGAGCTCAAGACCAGCCTAACCAACATGGAGAAACCCCGTCTTACTAAAAATACAAAAAAATTAGGTGGGCGTGGTGGCTCATCCCTGTAATCCTAGCTACTTGGGAGGCTGAGGCAGGAGAATCACTTGAACCCGGGAGGTGGAGGTTGTGGTGGGCTGAGATTGTGCCATTGCTCTTCAGTCTGGGCAACAAGAGCAAAACTCCGTCTCAAAAGAAAAAAAGAATGGAGGACCTTTCTCTATCTATAGAATGAAGGGATTGGTTGGATTAGTTTGATGCTAATGCAGGGCTCCTATTGGTACTATTGCCACCCTGTGCCTGTGGCAGTCATCACTAATCCGTGACTGTACTCTTTCATGATGAGCCCAGAAGCAGCATCTGACTCTCTGTGTTCCCTTACTGTGCCTGAGGCTGACATCACCCAATCTGTGGCTGCAGTCTTCCACATTGAGCCTAAGGGGCAGCATCTTACTCTGTGTGCTTCCCTCCCATGCATGACACAGACATCACTAATCAATGACTGCACTCCTTCGTACTGAGCCCAAGAGCAGCATCTTTTTTTCCTTACTCTTGCCCAGGCTGGAGTGCAGTGTTGCAATCTTGGCTCACTGCAACCTCCACCTCCCGGGTTCAAGTGACTCTCATGTCTCAGCCACCCGAGTAGCTGGGATTACAGGTGTGCACCACCATGCCCAGCTATTTTTGTATTTTTGGGAGATGGGGTTTCACCATATTGGCCAGGCTGGTTTTGAACTCCTGACCTAAGGTGATCTGCCTGCCTTGGCCTCCCAAAGTGCTGGGATTATAGGCGTGAGCTACCGCACCAACCCAGAAGCAGCATCTTTCCATGCTCCCTTTTCAAGGGGCATTACAGAGAGGCCTATTCTGGGGTTTGAATGAGAGGTGAAGAATCAGGGGCAGCCATGGAGTGCCTCTTCCTCAGACTCCATCTTGAGAAGTGGATGCAGGGGTGGAGAGAAAAGAAAGAAGGCCAGGCTTAGTGGCTCATGCCTGTAATGCTAACATTTGGGGAGGCTGAGGCAGGAGGATTGCTTGAGCTCAGGAGTTCGAGACCAGCCTAGGCAACATTATCGAGACCATATCTCTACAAAAAACAAAAAATTAGCGAGGCATAGTGACACATGCCTGTGTTCCCAGCTTCTTGGGAGGCTGAAGTAGGAGGATCTTTTGAGGTCAGTAGATCAAGGCTGCAGTGAGCTATGATGTCACCACTGCACTCCAGCCTGGGAGACAGAATGAGAGCCTAGCTCAGTAAAAAAATAATAATAATAAAAATACGGCTGTCTGTGGTGGCTCACACCTGTAATCCCAATACTTTGGGAGGCCAAGGTGGGTGGATCACCTGAGGTTAGGTGTTCCAGACCAGCCTGACCTACATGGTGAAACCCTGTCTCTACTAAAAATAAAAAAATTAGTTGAGAATAGTGGCATGTGCCTGTAATCCCGGCTACTTAAGAGGCTGAAACAGAATTGCTTGAACCCAGGAGGTGGCGGTTGCAGTGAGCCGAGATCGCACCACTGCACTCCAGCCTGGGCAACAAGAGTGAAACTCAGTCTCAAAGAAAATAAACAAAATATAAAAATAAGTAAAATAAAAAGAAAGAAGGGGGACTGTGGGTGAAGTATGGACAAAATAGTGGGGCGGGCACAGATGGTTTGGACGCGTTTATCTGTGAGTCTCATGGTTCATCTTCATTAGATATTTGTGGCATATGCCTCACAACATCATAGCAAACACACCTACTTTCATTGATTCTCTCAAAGTTTCCCACTGTTACGACTTTTTCCACCTTGTGATGCTGGTACGGCGGGTGCTCCAAGCCAGGCTTACCGGGGTGGCACTTTCTCACAAAGGCATTAACTGGCCTTGTCCTAGGTCTGCCCTCAGCGAGAATGACAGTGACTGCCAGGCCAAGCCTTCCATGGGTCGGCTGTCCCTCTACTTGCTCGCTCTCAGAGCCAACTGTGAGTTTATCAGGGGCCACAAGGGGGACAGGTTGATCTCACAGCTCAAGCGGTTCCTGGAGGATGAGAAGAGGGCCATTGGTGAGTGGACACCATCGGCGGGGTGGGGAGCAGCCTGGAGGGCTCCTGAGATGCTACCCTTTAGCAAGAATCAGAACTTTGGGTTTTCTCCCCAGGCCTCTTCGGCACCCTCTATTCAGCCTATCTCACTGTCCACGTAGTGGCTCAAACCTGTCCCCAGAGCCATCCTTGATCCTCCAGCCTTTCCTGCACTGCACACACTCTACTGACAAGTCTTTTTCTTTTCTTTTTTTCTTTTTTTTTTTTTTTATAAGATGGGGTTTCACCATGATGGCCAGGTTGGTCTTGAACTCCTGACCTCAGGTGATCCACCCACCTCGGCCTCCCAAAGTGCTAGGATTACAGGCATGAGCCACCGTGCCTGGCTCCGGCTTTTTTTTTTTTTTTTTTTTTCTTTTGAGATGGAGTTTCACTCTTGTTGCCCAGGCCGGAGTACAATGGTGCGATCTCTGCTCACCACAACCTCTGCCCCCTGGGTTCAAGCGATTCCCCTGCCTCAGCCTCCTGAGTAGCTGGGACTACAGGCATGTGCTGCCATGCCTGGCTCATTTTGTATTTTTAGTAGAGACAGGGTTTCTCCATGTTGGTCAGACTGGTCTCAAACACCTGACCTCAGGTGATTCACCCACCTTGGCTTCCCAAAGTGCTGGGATTACAGGCATGAGCCACCATGCCTAGCTTATTGGCAAGTCTTGTATCGGAAAGCCACCAAGATTGACCTGATTATCCACCTTTGGGACAACTGGACAGCCTTCTTATGCATTGGTCTGTCTCTACTAGCTCTCCCGTCCTGACTTGACCCAGCATGCAAGAGCCAGAGCCAGCTTTTTCAATATAAACCTGATCTTGCTGGCACTGCTTAAACCCTTCAGGGGCCCCCTCACTGCTCTGTGGCCCAGCCTGTCTGCCCTTACCTTCTCCGCGGGTTGTGCCCACCCATTCTCTGCCTCCCACATGCACCTGCCCTCTGTGGGCCCCAGCTATACTGGCTCTCTCATCTCTCAATTCATGAGCCATTTTCTTCATACAGGTTCCCTCCATCTGGACTGGCTCCCCCTCATGTAGTTCACTCCTGCTCTACCCTTGGTTCTGCCTCTACACATCCCCTCTCTAGCACTCACCTCCTTGGAGAATCTTGCCCTGACTTCCCAGCCACCCAAATACCATTGCTATGTGGGTGGTATTTGGGTGGCTGGGTCCATGGACCTTGGTCTGCATTACCGTTACAATTGCAGTCTCACAAGCAATTGCTATGGTCGAGGCCCAAACTGCACAGCGCCCGTTTGCCATGGGTCTACTGCTTCCTCCAAGCACAGCGGGGCCTCAGCAAGTATGGGCTGAGGCCATGAAGGAATGAAGGATCCAATGACCCAGAGGAGTGTGTTGAAAAGTGCGGACCAGGAGTCCCATGTGCTGGTGGGCCTGGCTGCTGGATGGGGGCAGAGAGGCAACCCCTTGTTTTTTTTCCTTTCCAGGGCACAATCACAAGGGCCACCCCCACACTAGCTACTACCAGTACGGCCTGGGCATTCTGGCCCTGTGTGTCCACCAGAAGCGGGTCCATAACAACCTGGTGGGCAAACTCCTGTATGCTGTGGAACACGACCGTCTCCACCAGAGCCACTTCTCTGTGGGTGAGTAGGTTAGACCCTGCTGAGGCCAGGCTGGCACTCCCTCAGTCCCCAGGCCTGCACTAATGATCTCCATACCCTGGCCCCACCCTCACCTTTCCTTGGGACCCCTTCTTACCAAGTCCTTTAGGGGTGAATTGGCGAGGGCTCATAGGTGATGCTCCAGCTGTGAGCCAGCTTTGGAGCTGGTAGGTGATCTCTTGAGGCCAGGGGTTCAAGACAAACCTGGACCACATGGCGAAAACCCATCTCTACTAAAAAGCACGTGCCTATAGTCCCAGCTACTCAGGAGGCTGAGGCAGGAGAATCGCTTGAACCTGGGAGGCGGAGGCTGCAGTGAGCCAAGATTGTACCACTGCCCTCTAGCCTGGGCAATAGAGTAAGACTCTGTATCAAAAAAAAAAAAAAAAAAAAAAAAAAAAAAAAAAAATCTCCCTTAGTGATTCTAATGTGCAGCCAAATTTGGAAACAAATGGTATAGAGTCAAGTCCTCTTGGGCCTCCTCCTCCAGTCCTTCTCCCTAACCTCTCGCCCTCAAATTGCAGAGTGATCAACCAAACCAGTTTGCCCAGAAACGAGCAGTTTCCTAGGATTTTCAGAGTCCAGACAAGGAATGTCTTGGGCAGACGAGGTGGGGTTGGTGTCCTTAGCTGATCTGACCATGTTGCCCCTCTTCTCCAAGCCCACCTGTGGCTGCCCATAGCTATGAGGGCCTGACCCTCAAGCCCCTGCTTGTCTGGGCTCCTCTTGGCTCTCCAGCTCATCACATGTTCTGTTCCCCACCAAAGACACAGCAGCCATGGCAGGCTTGGCATTCACCTGTCTGAAGCGCTCAAACTTCAACCCTGATCAGAGACACCGGATCACCATGGCCATCAGGACAGTACAAGAGAAGATCTTGAAGGCCCAAACCCCCGAGGGCTACTTTGGGAATGTCTACAGTACCCCATTGGCATTACAGGTGGGAAAGAGACCCTGGAGCCATGTCCACCCTGGGGAACAGTGAGGGGTGGAGTGGTCAAGGGCTGGACCACCTAGCCCCTCCCCACTGGCTGATCCTCCTCCCTCTCTTCCCTACTCCATCACCAGTTACTCATGACCTCCCCCATGTCCGGCGCAGAGCTGGGAACAGCATGTCTCAAGGCAAAGGTTGCTTTGTTGGCCAGTCTGCAGGACGGAGCCTTCCAGAATGCTGTCATGATTTCCCAGCTGCTGCCCGTGCTGAACCACAAGACCTACGTTGATCTGATCTCCCCAGACTGCCTGGCACCACGAGGTAGCCCAGCCTTTTGTGGAAAAACAGCCCTTTACAATCTGCTGTGCACCTGTTGATGTCCCAGTGAGGGGAAGTTGCTTGGTCCTGATTTGCTGGGTCAACACAAGTTTGTGGGTGTGCATGGGACACCGCAGCTAAAATATGGTCACAGCTTTAGAAGCTCACAGTGTGGGGAGAAAAACACCAAATGGAGAGTCCTGGTAGTACCGCTTGTGTGATAATCAGTACAGAAATGTTTGAGTGAATGGATGGATGAATGAATGAATGAATGGGGAGAGACACATTTTGGTTAACTCTTAATATAACATGATAAGCCCCAGTAGCAGCATGATCCAGGCTTCCTCTGAGAGAGGGGCTGAGGAGGTGATTGGGATTTGCCAATTAAGAATAGAGAAGGAGGCCGGCACAGTGGCTCAGGCCTGTAATTCCAGCACTTTGGGAGGCCGAGGCGGGCGGATCATGAGGTCAGGAGATTGAGACCATCCTGGCTGACATGGTGAAACCCTATATCTTAAAAAAACAAAAAAGAATGGAGAAGGAGGCTGGCACGGTGGCATGTGCTTGTGAATCTAGCACTCTGGGAGGCTGAGGCAGATAGATTGCCTGAGCTCAGGAGTTTGAGACCAGCCTGGGCAACATGGTGAAAACCTGTCTATATTAAAATACAAAAAATTAGCCAGGCGTGGTGTCAGACGCCTGTAATCCCAGCTACTAGGGAGGCTGAGGCATGAGAATCACATGAACCCAGGAGGCAGAGGTTGCAGTGAGCCGAGATCGCACCACTGCTACTGCACTCGAGTCTGGGTAGCAATGTGAGACTCTGTCTTCCACCGCCAAAAAAAAAAAAAACAAGAATGGATAGAGTAGAGCTGAGAACAGACGGCAAGATCAAAGGCACAGAGTGCACAGAGTTTGGGGGAATTCTGAGGAACAGTCTTGCAAAAGAGTGGGATCTGGGAGAATGAGCGGGAGTGGAAGGCAGATGAATGAAGAGGAGGTGAGCCCATCGGGGTAACAGGGACATGTTGTGAACAAATATATGTTCTAGAAAGAGCCCTCTGGAGTGCTACATGCCGGATTGGTGGGAGGAGGGATACTGGAAGCAGAGAAATCAGTGAGGGGCCTGATCTTGGGTGGTGGGGGATGTGGGGAACGACGGTTAGGGGAGGCCAGGATTGAAACCAGGTTTCAGCTCAGCGGGTGGTGGTGGCATTGATGGAGATGAGGACTTGGGACAGGGTCTAGGTGTCTTTGGGGGAAGACAGGAAGACAAACATCCAGGCTCCCTGTCCTCACACCAGCTGCCCCTTCCTTTCTTCCTGACACAGTCATGTTGGAACCAGCCACTACGACCCTTCCTCAGATCCAAGACCCTGAGACCATCAATGTCACACTTCAGGTGCTCAGCCTTTTGCAGCCGTACAGACAAGCCATCCCTGTCCTTGCCGGCTCCTCCCTGGAAGATGTCTTGAAGAAGGCCCATATGTTAGGAGGATTCATGTGAGACTCCCATCTCCCAGCACTCACCCCACCCAACCCCACATGCACGATACAGGGTCACAGAAGAGACGGGACAGAGGAAAGGGTTCTCTCGGGAGAGACACTGGCCCTGCTTCTGCTTCCACCTGCTCCGCTCTTTTCTTGCCTACGGCGTTATGGAAACAGAAAGCCATAGGCCAGCATTATCATTGAGAGAGCAGGCTCTGGAGGCAGCTCTAACCAGCTAGGTTCCAGGTAGGCACCCACAGTTCACTGAGGAGAATAGTTGTGCCCATACCTGCAGGGCCAGTGTGAGGAGTCAAGGAGTTAGTACACATAGAAATGGTGGCACGTGCTTTTTATATGTGCAAGGTCAGCACATAGCAAGCTCTCAACACAGGGTTGCCTTCATCAGAGGAAAAACTCTTTTTTCTTGTTTTGTTTTTTTTATAAAGAAACAGGGTCTCACTCTGTCACCCAGGCTGGAGTGTAGTGACTCAATCATGGCTCGCTGCAGTCTTGAACTCTGGGGAGGAAGCAACCCTCCTGTCCTACCTTAGCCTCCCAATAGCTGAGACTATAGGCGTGTGCCACCATGCCTGGCTAAGTTTTTTTTTAATTTTTTTTTTTGAGACAGAGACTTGAACTGTCACCTGGGCTGGAGTGCTGTGGCGTGATCTTGGCTCACTGCAACCTCCCCCTCCCAGGTTCCTGCCTCAGCCTCCCAAGTAGCTGGGATTACAGGCGTGTACCACCAAGGCTAGTTTTGTATTTTTAGTAGAGACGGGGTTTCTCCATGTTGGTCAGGCTGGTCTTGAACTCCTGACCTCAGTTGATCCACCCACTCCGGCCTCCCAAAGTGCTGAGATTACAGGCTTGAGCCACTGCACAGAGGAGGCAGAGGTTGTAGTGAGTCAAGATCGAGCCATTGCACTCCAGCCTGGGCAACAAGAGCGAGACTCCATCTCAAAAAATAAAAGGTCCTTTCTCTTTCTAGCTCTAGACAGCTATAAATCCCCAACAACTTTGTAAATTAATAAAAACCAGTACCATTCAAATAAGGACTCTCTGCGGAGGTGCCGGCCTGTGCTGTAGCACCTCGCTGTATTTGAGCTGCAGGGAAACCTGAGCAGTGAAGCCTGGGCACCCCTGCCCTGCCCAGACACTTTATTCACTGTGAGGGCCACCTCTGTCCCCTTCCTGGTGGCCTATGGCACATAGTGCAATGTGCAGTCACTGACGGCCACACACAGGCTGAGTGGCCTTGGGAGGACTCAGACCAGCAGACTGAGATTACCCAGAACCTGCTGGTATTCGTATTTGAATATTAGCATTAAAATGAAAGACAAATAGAATTTAATGTGTTTTTTTTTGTTTTTTGTTTTTTGTTTTTTTTGAGACGGAGTTTCGCTCTTGTTACCCAGGCTGGAGTGCAATGGTGCAATCTCGGCTCACCGCAACCTCCGCCTTCTGGGTTCAAGCAATTCTCCTGCCTCAGCCTCCCGAGTAGCTGGGACTACAGGCACGTACCACCAGGCCCAGCTAATTTTTGTATTTTTAGTAGAGACGGGGTTTCACCATGTTGACCAAGATGGTCTCGATCTCTTGACCTCGTGATCCATCCGCCTCGGCCTCCCAAAGTGCTGGGATTACAGGCGTGAGCCACCACGCCCAGCCGAATTTAATGTTTTTATTTACAGCTTGGGGGACATCGCGGACTCCATTCTGAGAAATAGTTCTCTTGTTAGTGTGCATGGTTGCCTGAATGAGGTTTAGGCATGAAGACTACACTTGAGGTCCCTGAATGCACAGCAGAGAAAGCTCAACTGCAGACACATGGTCAGATGTAGAGAGTGGTGGCCCCAAACAGCCACGTGGCCCTGCAGAGTTAAGGAATGGGAAGAAAAGCTGCTCTGTGGCATTCCTTAGAACAGCACTTTCCCTTCACTTAAGTCACCCCAAATAGGTTTGTGGGTTTTTTTGTTGCTCTGTTCGTTTGTTTTTGAGACGTAGTTTCATTCTGTTGCCAAGGCTGAAGCACAGTGGTGTGATCTAGGTTCACTGCAGCCTCCACTCCCAGGCTCAAGTGATTCTCCTGCCTCAGCCTCTGGAGTAGCTGGAATTATAGGCACCCAGCACCATGCCCAGCTAATTTTTGTATTTTTAGTAGAGATGGGGTTTCACCATGTTGTCCAGCCTGGTCTTGAACTCCTGACCTCAGGTGATTCACCCACCTCAGCCTCCCAAAGTGCTGAGATTATAAGCATAAGCCACCACACCTGTCCTGACCCCACTCTTCTAAAAAACCATTCCCCCAAATTCTGTACACCCATGTGCTTTTGCTCTCTCTGCCTCCTCGGCTCTGCCTCGCTCTCCTCCCTTCTCTACTGGCAAATCCCACTCATCTCTTCAAGCCCCTCTTCCAGAGGAAGCTCCGATCGTGCTGCTTCCTCCTGTGGAAGGGAGAAAGGACCTGGCCCACAGAGTTTTAAGAGGCTCACTGTGGCAGTGGCATCCAGATGGACTGCAGAAACTCATCAAAGTTGGAAGCCAGAAGCTCAGGGAAAGGGGACCGTGAGTGAGGAGTCTGTTGGTTGCCAGGGCCAAAATTCGAAATTCAGGCAGGCACAGTTGCTCACACCTGTAATCCCAGCACTTTGGGAGGCTGAGGTGGGCAGATCATGAGGTCAGGAGTTCAAGAGCAGCCTGGCCAACATGGTGAAACCCTGTCTCTACTAAAAATACAAAAATTAGCAGGGCATGGTGGTGCATGCCTGTAATCCCAGCTACTTGGGAGGCTGAGGCAGAATTGCTTGAACCCAGGAAGCGGAGATTGCAGTGAGCCGAGATCATGCCACTGCACTCTAGCCTGGGCGACAGAACGAGACTCCATCCCCCACCACCACTAAAAAAAAAAAAGAAAAAAATAGTCGAACTCCCACCCTCTCTGCAACAGCGGGTGTACAGCATGTAGAATCAGAGAAGAGGCTGGGCCATGCAGCTCCAGAAAGAGGGGAGAGGAATGCCCCTGAGCCACAGAGACCCAGTACCACTGCTGGGTGTCTCTGCCTCCACCTCCCATGACCCTGCCTCTCTCTGCATGCAGGCTTCACCCTCTCTCATTGTACACATTTTAGGTGATGCCCGCAGCTTCTGATTCTCATCCCCCATAGCATCAGCCCCTTAGAGAGGGGACAGCTGCTGAGCTGATAACATAATAGATGCCCCTTTCCTGAAGGCCATGGTCGTGGTCAACGTGAGAGGATGAAGCCTGAGCAGGCAGGATAGGGGGTCTGGAGGGGAAGGAGATGGAGGTTGGGACACAGACCTGTGGCCAGGTGGCCCAGGAAGGGTTTGACTAGTGCCAGCCCAGAGTTTTAAGAGATGATGAAAGGATTTTGCTGCTGTGGGTGAGCTCTGCCTTTCCCGCTAGGGACAACAGTCACCTCTTTTCTCTCTCTCTCTTTGCCTTTCCCTTTTGTAGATATGAAAAACAGGCCTCCTTGTCAGGCCCCTACCTGACCTCTGTGATGGGGAAAGAGGCCGGGAAAAGGGAGTTCTGGCAGCTCCTCCAAGCCCCCAACACCCCCCTGCAGCAAGGTGAGTCATCGCCTGCCACCTGGATGTGTCCCCTACCCCAGGCTTACCGAGACATGAGGCTTCATCAGCTCACCCCAGCTCTCCCTAGCACCCTACTGTGCCACAGTGTCACGAAGTCACTGATGCTCAAGGTTGAATATCATATATTGAACTGAAATCTTAGAAGTTTTATGTAAGTTATTGGGAAATTCTAGGAAACCAGGTAGGTTACAAAAAAAAAAAAAAAACTAGAAGAAAATTAAAATCACCTAGAATACACTACCTAGAAATAATGTCTTTTTTTTTTTTTGAGACTGAGTTTCCCTCTTGTTGCCCAGGCTGGAGTGCAATGGTGTGATCTTGGCTCACTGCAACCTCTGCCTCCCAGGTTCATGTGATTCCCCTGCCTCAGCCTCCCAAGTAGCTGGGATTACAGGTGCCCACCACCATGCCCAGCTGATTTTTTTGTATTATTAGTAGAGACGGGGTTTCACCATGTTAGCCAGGCTGTTCTCGAACTCCTCACCTTAGGTGATCTCGGCCTCCCAAAAGGCTGGGATTACAGGCATGAGCCGCCACACCCAGCCTAAATGTCTTTTATTTTAAAATTTTAAATGTTATTTATTTATTTATTTATTTAAGATGGGGTTTCACCATGATGGCCAGGCTGGTCTTAAACTCCTGACCTCAGGTGATCCACCCATCTTGGCTTCCCAAAGTGCTAGGATTACAGGCATGAGCCACCGTGCCTGGCCTAAATTTTTTAATGTTTTGAGACAGGGTCTTGCTCTGTCACCCAGGCTGGAGAGCAGTGGCACGATCTCAGCTCACTGTAGCCTCAACCTTCTGGGCTCAAGTGATCCTCCCACCTCAGCTTCCTGAGTAGCTGGGGCTACAGGAACACATCACCATGCCAGACTAATTTTTCTATTTGTGGTAGAGACAGGGTTTCACCATGTTGGCCAGGCTGGTCTTGAACTCCTGACCCCAAGTGGTCTGCCTGCTTCTGCCTCCCAAAGTGCTGGGATTACAAGCATGAGCCACCTTGCCTGCCAAAATTACTTAACTTTTCTTCTAGCTACTTTAAAAAATATGCCAGTAAGTTTTTCATGAAAAATGAAGCCACACTCTATATCGACGCTATCCAGTGGAAAGAAAATGTTGCCCACATGTATAATTCAATCTTTTTTTTTTTTGAGATGGAGTCTCGCTGTGTCACCCAGGCTGGAGTACAGTGGAATGACCTTGGCTCACTGAAACCTCTACCTCCTGGGTTTAAGCGATTCTTCTGCCTCAGCCTCCCAAGTAGCCGGGATTACAGATCTGTGCTGCCATGCCTGGCTAATTTTTGTATTTTTTAGTAGAGATGGGGTTTCACCATGTTGGGCCAAGCTGGTCTTGAACTCTTGACCTCAGATGATCCACCCATCTCAGCTCCCAATGTGCTGGGATTACAGACGTAAGCCACCGCACCCAGCTTAAGTTGCTTTTTATATTCCAACTGCAAATAACTTTTATGGGGCATTTACCATGTGTCAAACATTGTGGCGCGTGCTTTATAGAAGGTGGGACTTTCTGGCCAGACATGGTGTCTCACACCTGTAATCCCACCACTTTGGGAGGCCAACGTGGGCGGATCACGAGGTCAGATCGAAACTATCCTGGCCAACATGGTGAAACTCCATCTCTACTAAAATATAAAAATGTTAGCTGGGTGTGGTGGCATGTGCCTATAGTCTCAGCTTCTTGGGAGGCTGAGGCAAGGGAATTGCTTGAACCCGGGAGGCAGAGGTTGCAGTGCATGAGATCGCGCCATTATACTCCAGCCTAGGTGACAGAGCAAGACTGTCTCAAAAATAAATAAATAAATAAATAAAAATAATAAGGTGGGACTTTCTTAAGGAGTCCACCAAAAAGCATTCCTTTTTCTGCCATCATTCTGAATCAACTGAGAAATAAAAAATAGGAACTACAGATGGAGACCTCAAGTCTGGCCAGTTCTATTACTGCTAAAGACTGGAGGATGTAGCTTAGGGTGAGAGCCAGGTGGACCCAGCCAGGAAGCAGACTGGGCAGTTGTAGTCTCTGCCTCCTATTCACTCTGCCCTCGAGTCTAGCAGGAAGCTTGCTCCAAGGAGGAAGGAAAAGAGAGTGAGCCCAGGCTACACATACCTAGTTTATTCCCAATCAACCATTGCATAAATCACTCCTCTGTCTTCCGGTAGGAAGTGGATGGGAGTTATAAAGTTTCCTTTTGTCTTAGTCCATGGAAGCTGCTATTACAAAATACCGTAAACTAGGTGGCTTATAAACAGCAGGAACGTGTCTCTCACAGTCCGGGAGGTTGGTAAGGCCAAGATCAGGACACCAACACATTCAGTGTCTGATGAGGGCCCGCTTTCTGGTTCATAGGTGGTACCTGGCTGTGGTCTCACATGGTGGAAGGGACAAGGCAACTCTGGGGCCTTAAAAAAATTTTTTTTTAAAAATATTTTCCTGGCCCTTGCCTACCGAATGAGCCTCTTTTATAATGGTACATAAAAAAACTTTTTTTTTTTGAGATGGGGTCTCACTCTGTCACCCAGGCTGAGTGCAGTCAGTCTCAGGATCTCAGCTCACTGCAGCCTCCACCTCCCAGGCTTAAGCAATCCTCCCACCTCAGCCTCCTGAGTAGCTGGGACCACAGGCCCATGCCACAAGTACCGACTAATTTTTTGTATTTTGGGTAGAGATTGGGTTTCACCATGTTGCCCAGACTGGTCTTGAACTCCTGAGTTCAAGTGATTTGCCCACATCAGCCTCCCAAAGTGCTGAGATTACAGGCGTGAGCCACCCTGCTCAGCCTATAATGGCACTTTCCCAACTCATTCATGAGGGCGCTACGCTCATGACCTAATCATTCCCCAAAGGCCCTAAGGCCTCCTGACACCATCGCCTTTGGGGTTAGGTTTCAACATATAAATTTTTGGGGTACGCAGACACTTTGGACCATAGCACCTCCATTGAAAAGGAACATTCCTGGCTGGGCATAGTGGCTCATGCCTGTAATCCCAGCACTTTGGGAGGCCAAGGCGGGCAGATCACAAGGTCAGAAGTTCGAGACCAGCCTGGCCAACATGGTGAAACTCTGTCTCTACTAAAAATAGAAAAATTAGCTGGGTGTGGTGGTATTCACCTATAATCCCAGCTACTCGGGAGGCTGAGGCAGAATTGCTTAAACCCGGGAGGCAGAGGCTGCAGTGAACCGAGATCACGCCACTGCACTCCACCTTGGGCAACAGAGCAAGACTCTGTTTCAAAAGACCAAAAAAAGAAAGGAAACATACCTGATACCTGACACCTGGCTTTCAGAGGGCCCTTTCAGTTCCCCTGCAGGCTGCATTCTCACATCACCAAGATCGCCAACACTCACTCACTCACTCGGAGGTTAAATAACTTGTCCAGAGTTACAGCACTAATGAATGTCAGAGCTGGGGCTTGAATCCAGGCGTCCTCCTAGAGCCTGGATTCTCTCTAGGAAGTGAAAGCTGACTCCGGGTGGCTTCATGCATGGTCCTAGTTCTCTCTCCAGACCACACTGGGCAAGTTTCTCTTCCTGATGCCCCCTGGGATATTACAAAGACAGTGACCCTGCCTGTCAGGAGTTTTTACTGCCAGATGAGCCTGTGGCCTCAGGAACCCTGTAGGAAGCTAAGTTCAGAGTCTTTGAGTGGGCTGGGGAGGTTCCAGCTTCCCACCACCAAGCCCCAGGTGGATCTTACAGACCCTGGCCTCAGAGAGGGGGGATCTGGAAGATGAGGTTGCAGGGTGTGATATTCTGTCCGCTTAATCCCGCCTTGCTCAATCTGTTTCTGCAGGTATTGCTGACTACAGACCCAAGGATGGAGAAGCCATTGAGCTGAGGCTGGTTAGCTGGTAGCCCCTGAACTCCCTCATCCCGGCATCCTCGCATACTCCCTGGGCTTCTACCCTCCCTCCTGATGTCCCTGGAACTGGCACTCGCCTGACCCTGCTGCCACCTCATGTGCACTTGGAGCAATGCCCCCCGGGACCACCCCAGCCACAACCCCTTTGAGGGTCCTATACCAGGGCCCACCCTGGAACAGGGAGCCAAGCACCTGCCCTGGGAAGTCTTTCTGGCCACGTCTGGCCAGCCTGGCCCTGCAGGTCTCCCAGGAAGGCCACCCCATGGTCTGACGGGCATGAAGCATCTCAGACTCCTTGGCAAAAGGAAAAGGAGTCTGCAGGCCACAGATGTTGTGAGGGTCACTCATTCTGGGGTTGGGGTCCTGCCAGAGGCCTCCTCAGCCCAGGGGCTATGGCCCTGACCCCAGCTCTCCACTCCGCTGTTGGAGTGGCAGCTCCAAGCTGATTGTGGCACAGTTGCTGGGGAGGCCTCAGCACAGCTGCTCAGTGCCCGCCTCTGATGCAATTAAAGCATTGATGGCCTGTGGGCCTGCTGCAGTGGCCTGGCGCCTTGTACTCCTCAGGTGCAGGGGCATGGACCAGAGAAGGGGGAGGTAACCCCGTCGAGGAGGAGTGGAGGTTGCTTGAGCCATCTTCTGGGCCTTGGGGGAGTGATGGGAATGCCAGCAGTGGCAACATCGACTACTCTTTACTGAGTACCCACTACTATTTACTGAGCACCCACTACTGTTTATTGAGCACTCACTGCTATTTACTGAGCACCCACTGTTTACTGAGCACTCACTGCTATTTACTGAGCACCCACTACTGTTTACTGAGCACTCACTACTGTTTACTGAGCACCCACTACTGTTTACTGAGCACTCACTACTGTTTACTGAGCACCCACTACTGTTTACTGAGCACTCACTACTGTTTACTGAGCACTCACTGCTATTTACTGAGCACCCACTGTTTACTGAGCACTCACTGCTATTTACTGAGCACCCACTACTGTTTACTGAGCACTCACTACTGTTTACTGAGCACCCACTACTGTTTGCTGAGCACCCACTACTGTTTACTGAGCACCCACTACTGTTTACTGAGCACTCACTACTGTTTACTGAGCACTCACTACTGTTTACTGAGCACCCATTACTGTTTACTGAGCACTCACTACTGTTTACTGAGCACCCACTACTGTTTGCTGAGCACCCACTACTGTTTACTGAGCACCCACTACTGTTTACTGAGCACTCACTACTGTTTACTGAGCACTCACTGCTGTTTACTGAGTACCCACTGTTTACTGAGCACTCACTGCTATTTACTGAGCACCCACTACTGTTTACTGAGCACTCACTACTGTTTACTGAGCACCCACTACTGTTTACTGAGCACTCACTACTGTTTACTGAGCACTCACTACTGTTTACTGAGCACTCACTGCTGTTTACTGAGCACCCACTGTTTACTGAGCACTCACTGCTATTTACTGAGCACCCACTGCTATTTACTGAGCACTCACTACTGTTTGCTGAGCACCCACTACTGTTTACTGAGCACCCACTACTGTTTACTGAGCACTCACTACTGTTTACTGAGCATTCACTACTGTTTACTGAGCACCCACTGTTTACTGAGCACTCACTGCTATTTACCAAGCACCCACTACTGTTTACTGAGCACTCACTACTGTTTACTGAGCACCCACTACTGTTTACTGAGCACTCACTACTGTTTACTGAGCACCCACTACTGTTTACTGAGCACCCACTGCTATTTACTGAGCACTCACTACTATTTACTGAGCACTCACTTGCTAGATACTGTCTCCAGCAACTCTGTGAGGTTGTTGATATTTTTATTTTCATCTCTGCTTTACAAATCAGGAAACTGGTGCTCCAAAAGATACTCACTGAAGGTCATGGACTAGGCAGTGATGCTATGGGAACCTGGCTCAGGAGACACACAGACCCGGCCTGGGGCAGCCTCACAGCTCCTCCACTAAAATACTGAACTTGAGGGCTTTGATGATGATTATAATCATATGGCAAAGCCCTAACTCAGCTGAGCCTGGGACCCTGGAGCTGGGGTCTCACTCCCTGCTTTTCCCCGAGGCACTTAGGGTACCACCCCAGGCCTTCTCAGCCAAGACATGGGGATCCTGCCTCTCACTGGCTCAGGGGTTAGGGGCTCTGGGCTGCCTTCTTGAAGGTGGAGTTCATCCCAGGCAGGCACCCCCTATGCCGCACCCCACCAAGGTTAGGAAGAGGCCCTGTCCTCAGAGGGGCCCTCTGATGAACAGCCCATCAGATCTGGGTCCACGTGCCTGGAAAGAGATGGTGACACACTTGAAGTCCTTGAAGCGGCAAATCAAACCTTCTAGAGCACCAGCTTCAAATATTTAGGGTGGCCAAGCCTGGTGGCTCACGCCTGTAACCCCAGCACTTTGGGAGGCCGAGGTAGACAAATCACCTGAGGTCAGGAGTTCAAGATCAGCCTGACCAACACAGAGAAGCGCTGTCTCTACTAAAAATACAAAATTAGCTGGGCGTGGTGGCACATGTCTGTAATCCCAGCTACTGAGGAGGCTGATGCAGGAGAATCGTTTGAACCTGGGAGGCAGAGACTGCGGGGAGCCAAGATTGCACCATTGCATTGAAATGTCTATGCCCAGAACTCCAGACCTCTGTTCACTTGCCCATTCTTTTTTTTTTTTTTGAGACAGAGTTTTGCTCTTGTTACCCAGGCTGGAGCGCAATGGTGGGATCTCGGCTCACCGCAACCTCCACCTCCTGGGTTCAGGCAATTCTCCTGCCTCAGCCTCCTGAGTAGCTGGGACTACAGGCATGCGCCACCATACCTAGCTAATTTTTTGTATTTTTAGTAGAGACGGGGTTTCACCATGTTGACCAGGATGGTCTCCATCTCTTGACCTTGTGATCCATCCACCTTGGCCTCCCAAAGTGCTGGGATTACAGTCATGAGCCACCACGCCTGGCCACACTTGCCCATTCTTAATCATGGTGAGGGGCACTTCAGGGAGGGCGAGAGCAAAACTCCATCTCAAAAAAAAAAAAAAAAAGGGTCTTAGCAGATAAGGGGGAAGTAGGCAATTTAAAACATTCTTTTATAGTGGGCTGGGTGCAATGGCTCACATCTATAATCCCAACACTTTGGGAGGCCAAGGATCACCTGAAGTCAGGAGTTCAAGACCAGCCTGGCCAACATGGAGAAACCCCATCTCTACTAAAAATACAAACATTAGCCAGGTGTGGTGGTGCATGCCTGTAATCCCAGCTACTCAGGAGGCTGAGGCAGGAGAATCACTTGAACCTGGGAGAAGGAGGTTACAGTGAGCCAAGATTGCACCATTGCACTCTAGCCTGGGCAACAAGAACAAAACTCTGTTTCAGAAAACAAAACAAAACAGGCCCTCCTTCTGGGACCGGGAAGCAGTTCTATGTCAGGTCTGCATTTAGATGGCTAATGGCTCCAGAGAGAAGGCCCTTCCGCTCACTAAGCCTGTTTCCTAACACAGCTGTGGGATGGTGTTTTGGTTTACACAGCACATCTCATCATAGATCATGCATGGGGAAACTGAGGCCCCAGGAGTGAAAGGATCTGTCTAGGCACATGCAGAAACATGTGAGAGGGCCATCCCACAGCCTTGCAGCCCGGTTGCCGGAAATAGATTCTCTGCCCCCACCCCACCCCCACCCCCTGCCATCCCCTAAAGTCTCTCTGCATCACCTGCCTCCCACAGCAGCAGCCTGGGCCTCCAAAGGGCACATTCAGATTTCAGGGATTTGGGGAGCCTGTGGGCAAGGACAGACTGCTCTGAGCTTTTGGGTGGACCCCAAGGAATGCAAAAGAGCCCCCTGCCACCCTCCACGAAGCTGAGTGCCCTAGCCCCCTATTCTTCCACGTGGGAATGTCCTCTTGAGAGCCCTGCTGGTTGTCGGTCAAGGCAGGTTAAAAGCTGAGGTTTGGGCCAGGCATGGTGGCTGACACCTGTAATCTCAGCACTTTGGGAGGCCGAAGTGGGTGGGTCACCTGAGGTCAGGAGTTCGAAACCAGCCTAGCAAACATGGTGAACCCCCCCCATTTCTACTAAAAATACAAAAAATTAGCTGAGTGTGGTGGGACATGCCTGTAATCCCAGCTACTCAGGAGGCTGAGGCAGAATTGCTTGAATCTGAGAGGCAGAGGTTGCAGTGTGCCGAGATCACACCCTTGCACTCCAGCTTGGGCAACAAGAGTGAAACTCCATCTTGAAAAAAAGTGCTGAGGCTTAAAGTAGCCAGGGGTAGTGGTTTCCACCTGTAATCCTAGCAACTTGGGAGGCTGAGGTGAGAGGATCAGCCTAGTGGTGGGCACCTGTAGTCCCAGCTATATGGGAGGCTGAGACAGAATTGCTTGAACCTGGGAGGTGGAGGTTGCAGTGAGCCGAGATTGAGCCACTGCATTCCAGCTTGGGTGACAATGTGAGACTCTATCTCAAAAAATATGTATATATAATAAAATTATTACTGTTGCTGGTCGAGGTGGCTTATGCCTGTAATCCCAGCACTTTGGGAGGCTGAGGCAGGTGGATCATCTGAGGTTAGGAGTTGGAGACCAGCCTGGCCAACATGGTGAAACCCTGTCTCTAGTCAGAAATTAGCCAGGTGTGGTGGCACACACCTGTGATCCCAGGTACTGCCCGCCTGGCCTCCCAAAGTGCTGGGATTATAGGTGGGAGCCACCCCGCCCAGCCTCCTATGTCATGTTTGTATTTTCTGTAGACACGGGGTTTTGCCATGTTGCCCAAGCTGGTCTCCAACTCCTGAGCCCAAGTGATCCTCATGCCTCAGCCTCCCAATGTGCTATGACTACAGCCATGCACCCACTGTACCCAGGCTATTGTTTTTTATTAAGGGAAATTTACTAGAAAACTGACAAAATCCAGGCTGGGCGTGGTGGCTCATGCCTGTAATCCTAGCAACTTGGGAGGCTGGGGCAGGTGGATCACTTGAGGTCAGGAGTTTGAGACCAGCCTGACCAACATGGTAAAACCCCATCTTTACTAAAAATGCAAAAATTAGCAGGGCATGGTGGTGCACACCTGTAATCCTAGCTACTTGGGAGGTTAAGATAGGAGAATAGCCTGAACCTGGGAGGTGGAGGTTGCAGTCAGCCAAGATCACGCCATTGTACCCCAGCCTGGGCAAGAAGAGTGAAACTCAAAAAAAAGAAAAAGAAAGAAAAATCTGTCAAAATCCCAAAGATAATTATAACCTTTAGGGGTCCCAGATTTCTCCTCCTCAGGAAATGGCAAGGGGGTATGGGAGAGGGTCCCCCCCCTTTGGCTGGCTTAGTTTCCTTCCCACAACCCGTTCTGGAGAAACCCTAAATGCCCCCATTTTTTGGTCCTTGGCCTGGAAATTTCCCTGTCTGCACCCCCTGCCCTGTAGCTTAGGCTATTCAGCAGAGATTTGCAGGCCCCAGCATGCGTCAGACTTATAGAGGCAAATGTGACCATGTAAATTTCCCGGCCCACCCGTGACGCTGAG